TTAAGGGAGAAGGCCCTATCTTTGCCGGTTTGCATGATATGAATTGTTTTTATCTTGCTGTAAATAAGCAACCTTTTCCCTTCCAATAATAATTTGTGGCTCGAAAACCAGCTGAGATAGAGCCTTCTCCTTAAAATTTTCATCCAGAGGGCCGTAAAATTGCGTGTTTAGTCAAGAAAAAACACGCCCAAAATTGTAGTTTTCAAAACCACCTCTTATGGCTGGTCAGAATAACAGGCAAGGTAGGGTTATGAAAACGTTGAAGGAAAAAACTTAAAAAATGTTTCCAGGAGTTTTCATCCAAAATGGCGCCTGGAAAACACTATTACAACCCAAGAATCGAAAATAAGCGATATACGACTTACCCTAGCGAATAGTCGCACATGCTGACGATAGATTTTGTGCGCTTCGGTGTCTTTAAGTATGTATTCTGATGAAGAATCACAAGAACAAGCAGAATGCAAATGTAGATACTAGCTACATGTACGCCAGACCACGTCTCGCGTAACAGGCTTCGCGATATCTTACGAAACACTGTTAAGCTGCGACGCGCCTGGCGCACATATAGCTAGGCCTGCGGCGCCGATACCCGAGACGAGTTAAGGAGAGGGTATACGTGAACAGGATCTTCCGGGCGCAAAATTTGACATACTCAAACTATTTGTCGGGGTCTTCTTACTGTTAAATTAGAAACATGAAATTCCTGCAGTTCGGTAACGGTTTTCATTGAAAAATCGAACTTTGTCAGATTGTTACGTAAAAATCAACGCACGATGTAGTTAATACGGTGTCGGCACTGAGCTATCTGAGGGGGCCACGGAATGACGGCACATTCGTAGTTCCAGAAGAGCCGCCAGTGGCGCTGGCGTCGACCGATGCCGGGCGGGAGGAGAAGGGACGAGACGAGCGGTGCCCCCCAAACAAACAAACAGAATGAAACTTTTCCGGTCAGTGGAGTAATGGGCTTCGCTAATCGCTGAGCCAACAAGGTAGATGAACGCCAGACCACGTCTCGCGTAACAGGCTTCGCGATATCTCACGAAACACTGTTACGCTGCGACGCGCCTGGCGCACGTATAGCTAGGCCTGCGGCGCTGACGGCCGAGACGAGTCAAGGAGGGTGTATAGGGGAAAAGAGCCTTCCGGGTCCAAAATTTGTCATACTCAACCTATTTGTAAAGGTCTTTTTGGCTGAGCGATTAGCGAAGCCTATTACTCCGACTGGTCAGAAAAAACTTTGTCTGTCTGTCTGTCTGTCTGTGTGTCTGTCTGTGTATCTGTCCGCACGAAAACTCGAAAACGAATTGAGCGAGCGACCTGGGATTTTCAGGGTCGTTTTGTATCATAAAAAGACAGATCGAGTTCGAAG